ATTTCGATTTCACCGTGATTGCTGCGTAATCATACAGAGAAAGATGACGGAGAAGACGACTCACCAGAGAAATTTCGATTTCAATTAATTGCAACTCTTCATCGTAGGCCACAACTAAGTTCGCTGATGTTCATCGCCGCCAGAGGTCGTCGCCCATCATCGTCGGAAACCTAAACACGCACAAAGGCCAAATTTTCAGCGACCCCTCTCCTAAGCCCCTTCCTCCCAATTTCAAGGTCAAGTTCAATTGTCCTCTCAGTTTTACATTACCTGCTCTGCTGTTGAGCTATTATCAGAACTTATTTTCTGTATAATGACTACTTATTGTCTATATATTGTCTGGTATTGAGCTATTATTAGAACTTATTGTCTGTTTATTGACTACTTATTGTCTATATATTGTCTAGTGTTTGCAGGTTTGGATTTGGATCTGGTTTCTTCAAAAGTTTTGCAGAGTACCTAGTGACCTTGTGAAAATATGAAATAGAAGTTCGAAATTAGCAAAATCAGAGATCAAAATCAGAAAAGAAGAAGAAGAAGAAGAAGAAGAAGAAGAAGAGGAAGAAGAGGTGAAAGAAGAAGAAACCTTCGGTGATGGCGTCTGATGAAGTCAACTGCAGCAGCTATCTGGTGCGTCGGCGGCGGTGACTGACATCGGTAATGGTGAAATCCGCAGCGCTGATGTTGGCCTAGATCGATGATGTTTGTTTGATGAATCGTGAAGAGGAGAGAGCTAATGTCGATGAAGTTTGATGCGCAGGGGAGTTTAAAAGAAAGGGCACTTTGGTCAAGTTAGATGTACTTAGGTCTTACGTAAAGATGTAGTCTTAATTTTAGAAAAGTAGCAAGATTATGTCCTACTTGTTGAAATCTCCCATAAATGTTTGTGATGTATTGACATATTGACGCACGCAATTCTTTATACTCAATGAAATGAAATTTGGATTGATAGGATGAATGTATTGCATCATATTGACGCATGCAATACTTGAATTTGTTGATAGTGAAAGGTTACAGAATACAGACTAGCTGAGGCGACAAAAAAAATTCAAACAATTGATTAAAATTGAGAGAAAATTTTAAAACTTAAAACCTTGTGTTTCCATTAAGGGTATTAAACTCTAGATCAAAAGTTGTTTTATGTAGTTTTTAATTTAACTAGTATTTTTACCCGTGCCGTGCACGGGGTAAAAGATATTGTAATGTAGTACGGAGTATTATTTTTAGTTTTATTATAGAACATAGAGAAAAGTATTTGAAGATGTGAGTGTCGCTTTATACTATATAAAGAGAAAGAACAATCAAATAAATATATTGATATCGAAATTTGATCTCTAATTGGTTCATTGTCACATAAAACTCAATTTGTTTCATCCTAAGGAAATCACTTTTTTCCACCCTCTATACTTAAATAAAAAATGATGAATTATTATTTCCATCGATTTCAAACAATAATTCATATACTGCAGGTTAAAGTCAAGTGACACTTAAATGGTTTGTAATTTAATCAAGACACTCATTTTAATTTGGTATGTAATTCATCGGGGGGTTAAAGTAGAAAAATGTTAAATACTTAAATCAATGGAAACTAAAATTTGTTTCACAAAATGTCAACTTTCATTAGATTATCAAATACCATGTTCTATATTTGTCATGCTATCATGTCCACATTTAACCATATTTTAAAGGAAAGAATGAGAATAATAATCTCAATGATTAATAATCTGCTTTTAATAAGCTCAACTATCGATTATTCATGTACAAATAATACGTAAAATATATCCACATCTCAAGTTCTCGACTTTTTAATTTTCATCACCTATAAATCTATAATCAATATGAGCAAAAATGAAAAAAATATACCTTCTGAAAAAACTTTTCACTACTAAATTATTTTACAATTATATTTTGATAATAGAATTACAACCATATGATTCATTGGGACCTTAAGTTGCTCAAACATAACATTAGTACTCTCTCTATCCTTTATAACTTTTCCAAGTTTGATCAGCACGAAAAAGTAATAAAGTAAAAACTGTGTAATTGAGATTTGTGTATAGGAGAAAGAAATAACGTGAAACACAAAATAATTGATTAGAAGAGAAAATGATAATTTTTAAAACAACAAATAAAAGAAATGTGACAAATTTATAAAGGACGAAAAAAGTAGTTAACAAATCTCCACTTGGTACACTCTTTTGTGCATATTCTTGTTATCCTTTTCGTAAGTTAAATGTTTAAATATGTTAAAACAAAAGTTAGACTATTTTACCGTGTAAATATAATTTATCTGAAGTTGTTCAGTTCAATTTAGAATCAAAAGATATGAATTGATATCTAGTATTATATTTCAACCCGTGTCGTGCACAGTCAACTTGATATCTAGAATCAAAATATTTCAATTTTATATTGTTCTACTCCCTCTAACCCAAAAAGATTTGTCAACTTAACTTTTCTTTATCAATTATAGTCAACTTTGACTAATGATATTTTAATACTAATTATTTTGAATATAAAAATTATATTAAAATGTCCCTTATTAAAAAATATTTTCATAAAATCATAATCATTATAAACTATATACAAATTTAATTGTTAAAATCATTATCCAAAGTTACTATGACAAACCATTTTTGGAGCAAAGGTAATGATATACATATGTTCATGTCAGTTATAATTATCGGCAATTAAGTGTGAATTTAAATGATTATAACAATAGATGATTATACATTTTTCTCAAGTGAATATTATTTTGAACGGTCCAAACACACTATTTCTCTATATATAGCATTTTGATGGCGAAATTCAAAATGTCTTTGTTAATTTTCTATTGTATCCAAATGAAATTAGTTTTTAATCATCTTTATGTAAACATAAGTTGATTTCAGCTATCATTTTATTGTAAGAACATTAATTACACATATAATCAATTATTGAAATAAATTTAATTTTATTTGTCTCAAACACAATCTCATTAAATTGCACAGCATATGTAATAAGAAAATTTCTACCCGGATAAATTTCATTGTATCCTGTGCACGGCACGGGTAAAGGCTCGAACTGCATTACAATATGAATAAGGGAAAACTGAAAATAATAATTCCAATAATACTCAAACAAAATCAATACTCTATAGTCTCTACCTATATACGATAGTATTCTATATTCTTTAATTCCATAAACTACCTAAAAAGTAATTATAGTTAAAAGAACCACTAATCATTTGATTTATTGGGTCTAATAAAAGTCGAAAGATGATAGTTATGATTATTATAATAAGATATTATAATTAACTGAACAGGTAGCCCGTCATGTGAGACTATTATTGACAGCATGTCCCTAAAGTCGATACTATTTTGAAATATTTGATCCTTGCCTCATTGGGATTATTAAGAGTGGATCGGGAACGATATGAATTATTATTATTATTATCAATTGTTCGTGTCAATAGTTTATAAAGCAATTGAAATCTAAAAAGAGAAAACATGATTGAAGTATAGAGGAAATCTACAAAAACAGTTAAAAGTTGTTAATTCTAACATGCCAGAAGGAGTGAAAGCTAACGGAAAATTCATAGTGATATATATATATATATATATATATATATATATATATATATATATATATAGCTTATCATGGCAAAGCCTGTAGATTTGATAATATAGAATTTTATCAATTTGGGACCTGAAAGATAGATGAATTATCATTCTGGGACCTAAAAGAAAATTTCTACCCGGATAAATTTTATTTTAACCCGTCCACGGCACGGGTAAAGGCTCGAACTGCATTACAATATGAATAAGGGAAAACTGAAAATAATTATTCCAATAATTGTCGATCCGCTAACAATAATCTCAACTATTTATTATTTTGTATAATCACAAATATATGACTTGTTCGCCAATAATGGTCCATGACTGGATATATCCTCCTATAGTGTGTCACTTCCAAATAGAAAATTAAGCATATTGATTTTTAACTAATTTTAAAATGAATGAGTATTTTTGGATGATTAGATTTAATAATTTTTTGATATTTAAAATAAGTTTTTTTGTTTTTTTGTTTTACTTAATTTTAAGAATCTAGGTTTCTTTTTTCAATTTTAAATTGTACTTAACTTACAATTTTATATATTTGTAATATCTTACATATAATAACATTTTAATTTTGAATTTTATAAAAACAAAATCCATACTCTATAGTCTCTACCTATATATTCTATATTCTTTAATTCCATAAACTACCTAAAAAGTAATTATAGTTAAAAGAACCACTAATCATTTGATTTATTGGGTCTAATAAAAGTCGAAAGATGATAGTTATGATTATTATAATAAGATATTATAATTAACTGAACATGTAGCCCGTCATGTGAGACTATTATTGATCAATTTAACTGAACAGGACTCGAATGATGAAAACTATCAATCTAGGACCTAACATTTCATAGGTTTTGATCAATTTAATTTTTTATTAACTCCATTGATAATATTTGATGTATGATATATTTAATTTTTTTACATATTCAATATTGGTGTCATATGAAAGATAATAAAAAATCACGAATTATGATATATTTTTTATAAAAGTTAAATTACAAATGAAAAAGTTATATCAATTTAAAAAATAGAGATGTTTTTGGTTGGGATCAATGAAGTGATTCCTAAGTTCAACCTATTAGCTTAGTATTGATAAATAAATTAACGTGATAGTAACAATTCTAATCTAACTTAAATCATATTCTAACAAATAAATAAACTAACGTAAGTGTAGTAACAATTCTAATCTAACTTAAATCCTATTCTAACAAATAAATTAACGTAATAGTAACAATCCTAATCTAACTTAAGTCATATTCTAACGCAACATAATTAATTAATTATGTAATATACTAAATTGGAAAGAGGTCTACAATGAATGTTTGCTTAGAAGATGACACATGTCAAAACTTTCTATAATTGTATCTTTGAAATGTATTATCTATAGATAGATTAGGTGTTCGGAAATTGCACGCTTATTTTTTTGGCCTATTTAACATTTGAATTCCCGATTGAAGCCTGATCAGCCGTCGAAGGGGAGGCGGCCAGAGCACGGCCGATTGACGCCCGCATCTGATGCTGAAGACCCGCTGCTTGTCTCCATCGCTCGTTGGCTTCATCCGGCTCCTGTTCATCCTGTTGATTCGTGCTTCCACAGAATTTGGAAATCAAGATTCTTCTTAATGGCGGTTTGGTCCTAGCTTGTCTAGGTGTTTGTTTGGGGTGCGTTTTGTCACTGATTTTGTAGTTTTTGCAGGTTGTGTTCCTTTTGCTTTGGGCGCTAGTTTGTTGTGTGTGACACCTCAGAGACGGAGAAGATGACCAACACTTACGATAACTTGATTCTCAGGGGTGATGAGGACGATCTGATCCTGGACGCGGAGGTAGCGGGCGTGGAAGAGGTTCCGAACAGGAGTCTACGGGCAAAAGAAGACGAAGAGATGGTGATCCGTCCCCTCTTGAACCTCCGTTACGAAGGAATTGTGCGACTAGAGTTTGGAAGACTCTCTATTTTTGCTTTGGTTTGTTTGTGTTTTTACTTCGAAATTCATGTTGTTTTGTTTGTGACGTACGATTATTTTTGTCAAACTCTTACATTAGGCAAGGGTGATGGGGTTTTGCTTTGACCACGTTAGGCTCATTTAGACCCATTACAGGATTAGCGAATCATATTGCTCTGTCTAGGGTGATTGGTTCTCAGGCTGGTCCGAGAGTTAGTGGTTGCAAGTGTTTCCTTTATCTCTTTTGTCCCTTGCTGAATGTTTCTTTATCAATATAAGCCGCCTTTTAAAAAAAACATTTGAATTGCCTTGGGTGTGTTTGAGAATTTGAAGTGAAGGGAAGAGAAGTGATTTGAAGGTTAATCGTAGGAGGGATTCAAAGAAAATTTTCAACTTATGTAAATACCAAATTCAATAATCGAGTCAATGCCAAAAATAGCACCACTATTCTGTAAACTGTAAATACCCCATTCACTCCCACACATATTAATCAACTGCAAGCACTCATGTCTTTGCAAACTTTAATTCTTATTGCTGTTGTCAATCTATTATCTATCACTCTCAATTAATAGGGCACTGGTAAAATTCTCATAAATTTTAGTGGTAAGAATCACTAGTTGCAAATAATTGCGGGACAAGAATTGCAAATTTCTCTAAATTAAAACAATTTTTCCCTGCAATCAGCCAACGTCTCAAACTTGCACAAGAATAATTGCACTATGGTACAAGATAATATGATTATAGGCAATATATGACTTCCTCAATAATCAAATGAAGACGTTGAATAATTGCATGAGGAAGAAGATGGAACAGTTTCTTCCCCTACAGCTTCAGTCATTGAAGAAAGTCATGAGTTTATCTCCAGTCATCATACTCCTGGCATTCTGGCAATGGTATAACAATACCTCAATTCCTTCATAAAAGCAAACAATGCATGCAGTGGAAAAGACGACAATCATCTTGTCTGTTCTTTCTCCCTATTACATTTCATCCACTCTTTGCCTGTAATCAGCAAGGTACTGCAGAATAAAAACAAATAATGACTAAAATTAGAGGACAAAAATCTTGCTTATTTGTGAACTTGTGTCCAAAACAATAAGGCCCCATTTGGTAGCATTAATTAGCTTATTGTGCTTATCCACAATTAAGCAAATTGGTAAAACTAAGCAGCTTAGAATTGATTTAACCAAATGATTTTCCTTCCGTAGAACACAAGCCAAAATAAGCCAATTTTCTAGTACAGAAAATTGCTTTCATATTTTCTTCAGAACAGTGGCAGATGCGGAATTTTATATTTTGGGGGTAAACTTAAATATGACTTAACATAAACATTAATATGATCATTGAAGTTAGACAAACGCAAACATAAATACAATAAAAGGTCTCAAATCAATATGGAGTACCTTCAAAACGGAACAAAGCTTTGAAACATAAATACAATAAAAGGTCTCAAGTCAATAAAAACAATTTCTTCTTCCTATTTTCATGTGCAAGGATAATGAAGGTAAAAATCAAACTATGAAAATAAGCGGACTAAAAATGATACTAGTGAAATCACATCAAACAAAACAATATAAAGATCTACTAAAATTGAAATTGTAATAAATTATAAATAAGAACAAGTCAATTCTAAACGTACAAGATGGCGAATTAGTTGCAAAATAAAAGGAGGAGGGTATCACGCGATCATTTTTTTGGTATCATGTCTGTCCCAAGCCAGGATAAAGGAGGAGGGTGCTGTGGTAGGCGCGTGACAGCTAACCGTATTACTTAGTCACATCACATGACATGAATCGAATGCAAAGGCTGCTAGGTCGTCACCTGGAAGCGACACACCACTCCAATGCCCGGGGATGGTGTCAAATATGCAAGGGCACGATGGGAGTCGTGGTGTGAAGAAGAAAAGGCAGGGTGCTAGATTTCGTTTTGGGACATGGAATGTTGGCTCGCTTACGAGAAGATCATCTTAGATAGCTGAGGTTATGAAAAGGAGGAATGTTAGTATAATGTGCATGCAAGAAACTAAGTGGGTTGGAGAAAAGGCACGGGAGATCAATCCGGGAGGTTTTAAGTTGTGGTATTCGGGGAGAGAAAGGAACACAAATGGTGTAGGCATTATGGTAGCACAGGATTATGTTGATGGTGTGGTGAAAGTCTTCAGGAAGAACGACCGCATCATGAGCATTAAGCTGATAATAGGAGATGATCATGTCAATGGTAAGTGCCTATGCACCACAAGTGGGATTGGATGCATCTATCACTCAACAATTTTGGGAGGATCTCGAGGAGGTGGTACGATGAGTTCCAAGGGGAGAGAAGCTGGTCATAAGAGGCGACCTCAATGGGCATGTGGGCCCGAGTCATGATGGTTTTGAGAGTATCCATGGCGGACATGGTTTTGGCACTAGAAATGAAGCGATGAAGAACATTTTGGATTTTGCTTCGATATATGAGTTGGCTGTGATGAACACTTGGTTCAAGAAAAGAGACTCTCACCTTGTGACCTATAGAAGTGGAGATAATAATACCAAAATTGACTACTTTTTAGTACAGACGACTTGGAGAACTAGCTACACTGATTGTAAGGTTATCCCAGGTGAGAGTGTTGTCACTCAACATAGGATGCTTGTGCTTGATTTTCAAGGTAAAAAGAGGAGGGTTAAGGTACAAGGGGAGCCAAGGATAAAGTGGTGGAGGCTAGAGGGGAATTTCCAACAAACTTTTACGCAGAAAATGTAAGAGGAAGATGTATGGTCCATTGATAATGACGCACATGTGGATGATGTGTGGTTATCAATGGAGTCCACCTTTAACAAAGTGGCGAAAGAGATACTTGGAGAATCTAAAGGATGTCTACCACCAAAAAAGGACACATCTTGGGGGAATAATGAGGTGAAACAAGCAATAAGGATTAAAAGGGAATGCTATAAGAAATTGGGCAAAAGTTGGAGCGACAAGAACATAGAGGAGAACAAGGAGGCTAGAAGAAGAGCAAAGAAAGCTGTAACGGAAGCAAGAGGAAAAGTGAACAAGGAATTGTATGCAAAATTGGACTCTAAGGAAGGAGAAAAAGATATTTACAGACTTGCTCGTCGTTGTGACCGTAGGACTCAAGATATAGGAAAAGTTAAGTGTGTGAAGGATGTCAATCAAAGGGTACTAATGGAGGACGGGGAGATAAAAGAGAGGTGAAGATCTTACTTTGATACACTATTCAACGGGAACAAAGCGCAAGATATCGGAGATTTGACCATACCAGATTGTATGGTAAATTGTGAATTTGTGAGAAGGATCCAAACAACGGAAGTTAAGGAGGCTCTGAGGAAGATGGGGCGGAAGAAAGCAGTGGGTCCAGATGGCATACTGATCGAGGCTTGGAGAAGTTTGGGAGAGAGAGGCATCAAGTGGTTAACAAGTTTCTTCAACATGATTTGGAGAAACAACAAGATGCCAACGAGTTGGAGGAAGAGTACTCTTATCCCCTTATTCAAGAATAAATGTGATGTACAAGAATGTGCCAACTATCGAGGGATTAAGCTTATAAGTCACACCATGAAACTTTAGGAGCGAGTGATTGAGCAAAGACTTCGAAGAATTGTGAAGATTTCAGAGAATCAATTCGGTTTTATGCCTGGTCGCTCAACAACTGAGGCCATTCACCTTCTTCGGCAGCTTATGGAAAAGTATAGAGACGCTCACAAGGATCTGCATTTGGTGTTCATTGACTTAGAAAAGGCTTATGATAGGGTACCTCGAGAAGTTCTTTGGTGGGCCTTAACTAGAAAAGGCATATCACGCAAGTATATCAGCATCATCATGGATATGCATGAGGATTGTACTACAAGTGTTCGTACCAATGTAGGGAGGACTGCGGAGTTCCCTATTACTATCGGAGTGCACCAAGGATCGGCTCTAAGCCCTTTCTTATTCGGTTATTTGCCATAGTCATGGATGAACTTATGAAGTCAATTCAAGACGAAATACCGTGATGCATGATGTTTGCCGACAATATTGCATTGATTGATGAGACGCAATCAGGTCTTAAAGCAAAGTTGGAAGTATGGCGACAAACATTGGAGAACAAGGGTTTCAGACTAAGTCGGAGCAAGACAAAGTACATGGAGTGCAAGTTTGGTGGAGGTAGAAGCAGTGGTAATAGTGGAATTACTCTAGATGGTAAGGAGATACCGGTCAGTGATATGTTTCGTTACTTGGGCTCCATAATTCAGGACGGTGAGCTAGATGAAGATGTATCCCATAGAATCAGAATAGGGTGGATGAAGTGGAAGAGTGCGTCAGGATTTCTATGTGATAGAGGTATGCCGACTAGACTGAAAGGTAAATTTTATAGGACAGCAATTAGGCCTGCATTGATGTATGGCGTAGAGTGTTGGGCGGTGAAACAATGTCACATTCAAAAGATGACTGTGGCAGAGATGTGCATGTTGCGTTGGATGTGTGGGCATACTAGGAAGGACCACGTGAGAAATGAGACAATTAGACAAAGGGTGGGAGTAGCACCTATCGAAGACCAAATGCGGGAGTCTCGCCTAAGGTGGTTTGGTCATGTGTGTAGAAGACCAAACAAACGTGGGTTAAGATGTGTGGAGATGTGTGGAGAAGAGGTAGGGAAGAGAGGGAGAGGAAGACGTGTTGAGATGTGTGGAGAAGAGGTAGGGAAGAGAGGGAGAGGAAGACCCAAACAGACGTGGGTTAAGGGAGTCCGAAGTGATATGCTTCTTCTTGGGTTGGATGAGGGTATGGCTTTGGAGAGAGCAAAGTGGAGGGCGGGTATTCGTGTGGAGGAGTGATATCGTATTATTATTTTCCCTCATCTTTTTTTTCTTCTTGTTTTTTATTCTTTTATATATAAACATTATTTTTATCCTTTTATTTTATCATTGTTAGGTATATTCATCTCGTTTTATATTATCTTTTTTATAATAGTTTTTTTATCTTTCTTTTCCTTTTGATGGTGATATCATGTATCGATTCATGTTAGCCGACCCCAATATCTTTTGGGACTAAGGATTGGATATTGTTGTTGTTGTGATGTAACGCAAAATCTAAACAAGATGATAATTTAGAATAAACTAAGAATTTAGCTAGAAAATCAGCAGTGTTGTGATATGTAGCAGAAGAAATAGGGATTCTAAAATGTAATTTGATAGAATGTCAAATTCAATTAAATATTGAAACGGACCAATCTCTATTTAAATAATCTTGTTATAGAGTTTATGTGAATAATGAGTAAACATATATGGAGACGGAAGTGCAGTGATTAGTGAACTATATAAGTGTGAACATAGAAATGGCTATCATTTTAATAACCCTATATGGCTATATATAGAGAGTCATGTTCCTGTAACAAAGCTTCTTCCCATGAAAAATGAAAATGGTGCACATTCTGGTTAATAATGCACATTCCGCAACAACAGAAAAGTCACTTATTTATAATCCAATCCAGTAAATCCACAACTCTCAAATCCACAGGCCCAGAATCTCCTTTCTCTCATAAGATGTCTTTCTAACTTGATCCTATATACTTTCTCCATTTTTTAATAGTTGCACCATTGAGTTTTTTGCACTATTCACATACCTTATTCTGATCGCGATTTTCTACTAATATATATAATCACATTATTATGTATGAAATGTTATTAAATTTCTATTAATGTGAATTTCCAAAATATCAATTTTTTTTAAAGTTAACTAATACTACATCCGTCCCATTTTATGTGTCTCCTTTGATTTTGACACAATTTTTAATAAAGTGGTTGAAAAGGTAGAAGTTGTGGTTGAGTTTGAGAACAGTAAAGTGAAATGTTGTGAACCACATGTTTCTTTTCAAAAAGGGAAAGGTGACACTTATTTTGGGACAACCCAAAAAGGAAAGTAAAACAGGTAAAATGGGACGGAGGGAGTACTTCCTACGTCCCTCTAACTTTGTCTCGTTTTACCTTTTTTGTCTGTCCCATTAAGTTTGTCTCATATCATATTTAGTAATATTTGAGTGGTTACAATGCATTCTAACTTTATTCACACTTTATCAATTTAATACCAACCACACAATTCTACTTTTTCTTAAAAACCGCACCACACCCTTTTGTCCCAATCTTAAAAGGACGGAGGTAGTACGTAATTAAATATAATTATAGTCAAACTGTTGCAACAATTAAAGAACAGAGGATAGTATGTATGTATGCGTGTGTGTATATATATAATAGCTAGGTTTTCTAAAAATTTGGGGGGGGGGGGGGGGGGGGGGGGGGCACAGCCCCTACTTGTCCCCCCTACAGGATCCACCGCTGCTATAACAGGGATCCCTCCCTCCTGCAGTCCTGCAGCCTCTCCCTGAGGGAAGAGAGGGAGATGGGGCCATGGGGACTTTTATAAGCAAAATAATACACACAAAAATATAATACACCTCTGTGTGTGCATAAACTCCAGCTTCCAGTGAGCCAGGAGGACTTCCTCTCCTCACAAATTTTCCGTCTTTATAAGTGTATAGCATCGGCACACCAGTTGATAGTTCCAAGTTAATAACCTGTCATCAAGAATCCTTCGATTGACTTGCATCAAAATACAAGCACAATAATCCTAATAATGCATTCGGGACTGTAGAGAAAAGAAAGCCCAATTAACCTCCTGAGAAGTCAACTCATCAAGATACATGACAATAGACCTCAATGAATTTGCATGAGCCACAACCATCACATGCTTTCCCGCCATAAGTTGGGGTTCAATCTGTAGAATTTTTTTAATCAGATATATGAAGAAAGAAATACACAAGAAAGTGTATTTGTACTTTACATGAAGGTAACCAAGCTCACATGGTCCTTAAAATAGGTAACGGCCCTTCCCTAACACATTTCTAAGCTCTCCCCGTTAGGTGGACGAACATCATAACTTCTACGCCACTTATAAACCTGCTCCTTTCCATATCTTTCAGCTGTTTCCTGCTTATTATAACCCTGAAGCTCCCCATACCTGTGAATCAAGCATGCGAGATCAAGTTGGTCAGGGGGATACATTCATGGAAAAAAAGGATTGAGTACGATATTTCCTTTTGCCTTGGAATATAGTTCATGTTTGGATTTGGCATGCTAATTAAGAAAATGGTTGAAAAAGAAAGTGTGTACAGATTTGCATGATGAGTGACATGACGAGAACCCCATATTTCATTCCTCAAAAGGAAACAGTACAATCATTTTGGAGTGGACCAAAAAGGAAAGACATAATTATCCTAGATATGACTAAAACTTCTTCACTTTTCAATCTATGACCTAACTAGTTCTTTTATCAAAATAATACTAAAATTCATAATATTTAATTCAAAATCGTCATTAATAATTAATACTCCCTCCGTCCCTGATTGTTCTTCCAAATTAAAGTGGCACGGTGATTAAGAAAGTGAGAATTGTGTGGTGGAGAGTTGTGCAGAGGAGAGAGAAATGCTGTGAACCACAAATTCTTTGCCAAAAAGGGAAAGTGAAATTCTTTTTGGGACGGACGAAAAGGGAAAGTTGGAAGTAAATTTAGGGACAGAGGGAGTAATTAATTTAGGTGGACAAATATACCCTTTAGTTTACACCTATAAAACCCTAACCTCCTACCCATTTTCTACAACCCTAGCTACAACCTGCCCACACCCAGCCACTCTGTCGTCCATCCGCCCCTCCCTCCAGCCGCGCCGCCGTCCAGCCACGCCGCCGTCCAGCCACGCCGCCGTCCAGCCGCCACTAGCCGTCCAACGTCGCCGCCTTCCACATAAATCAGATCTGCTGCCCGCCGTCCAGCTACTGCTCTCCATCGTCGCACAGCCGTCTGCCGCCGTACGGCCTCCTCCTGCCGCTTGAAATCGTTGACGAAACCGCGGAGAGGTTGGAGAGAGTTTCGGTGAAGGCGTCTTGGTGCACGCAAATGATTTGTGGATAAGATTGATTGTCTCTCTTGCGGTAGTTGTTGGTGCACGCTATTGGGATACTTCGGTGGAGGAGTCTTGGTGCACGCATTTGGGATACTTCTTGAAGTATAGTAGTTTGACACTTTGACTTGTGAGAGTTGTCATCCAATGATGAATGATGATGCCCTATTATTACGTAGTACTGTAGTGTGCAATTTGTTTTCAAAATCAAGTATGGTAGGCATTTATCAATTTTGATCTGATTTCGTTCTTCATCATTTTCGATTTCGTTCTTCATCATTTTCGATTTCTTTGCATTAGGATTTTTGGACATTAACATTAATATTGAACACTGCAATAGATAATGTTTAGTATGTGCATTAAACATCCACAGTGAACATTTTAATAAGTGTTGAGTATGATAATATATATGTTGTGCATGTCAGTGAATTAACACATTGTAAAAAATTGTTATGCAGTGATTATGATTAGTATTGCAGTAACACAAAACAGTAATATCATCAAGAAATGCAATGTTCTTAATTCAACGTAAAATTATACAATGATGAAATCTAAAAAAACAAAAAAGAAAAATTAAAAGTGTCCCTCAAGTAAATGAGAAGAGAATTAATTTTGACGGAAGTGCAGTGATTATAATGTGCAGTAAAGTATTGCATTAAAGTCGTGCAGTAACAGCAATATATAGTGCATCAATTTTAATTGGACGAAATTAGTGGAAAATACACATATTTTAAATAAGGGTGTTTTTGTCATTCAACCTGTAAATACAAACGAGATTTCTTTTTATTTTTGGATTTTTCGGTCATAGAAAAGTATAAAAACTAGTTAGGTCATAGATTGAGAAACTCATTGAGTTTTAGTCTTATTCTAGTAAATTTCCCAAAAGGAAAACATGAAATTTATTTCGGGAGTAGCAAATTACATTCTTTCATTCAGTTGCCACGCTTTAATGACAGGAACAGAGTGCGCCTTTGTTTCTTCACTATGAACTTGACTCCACATTTTAGCTTCTTCACTTTCATTATGCAAAATTATGGGCACCTATAATTAAAACAAACAAACAAACAACAACAACATTACCCCAGTGCCGCAAAGGCTCCCACCAACGGTGGGGTTAGGGGGGTTGGATGTACGCATCCTTATCTCTGTATTAATGCACAAAGAGGCTGTTTCCGGATGACCCGTGAGGAAAATCGCGTCGAAAATTGAATGAACTGACTGATGCTTCATAACCAGGATGTGCAAACAGTTTACTGAGCAATTTTACTTTATTCCATCATATCCCCAATCCAGAAAATAGTGAGTCTTTGACTCCACTGGAAATGATGGAAATTAAAAGTTTCAGAGAAATGACAATAAATGGCAAGTTTTCTACAATAAATACTATGTTGTTTTGTCAAAGATTTTAAAATGACAAGTTTTCTACAATAAATGGCTTGGACTAGTTATGCACAACACACATACATTACCCCTGACTTGGTTCCACCGTCTCCAAGAATAAAAATGAAATAAAAATAAACATCTTAAATAAGTTGATTTATAACTGTAACACCTTCAAATTTCTCACCCAAAAACACTTTGAAATAATACTTTATTATTAATTTTATTTGAAAACATCAGAATTGTGCAGCGGAACAATCAAAGGGAAATAGGGGCGTTACCGCCACACTCGGCACTAACCTAACCGAGTGCTCAGGCTAATCACCACAGAAACAATTAAACTCAATAAGTGTCTTGAAAATTAAATTAAACTACAATGTTATCTACTAATTACATTTTCTCTACCGGAAGCTCTCTCGAAATCAACATCATCAGCAAAGCATTACCTGTACAAAATCAAGTACAGAAAGAAAAATAAAAGAAAACAAAAAATAGCAACAATGCTAAGTAAGTTCCACCTAACCCCATAAAATAATACGGAGTATAATTTAATATTTTAGGAAAAATACATTTAGGAGGAAAAACAATTTATAAAATCTTCTCATAACATAATTCACTAATAAAATAATAGTACTTCAAATATAAGTAAATATTTCCAAACCACAATAATTACAAAATACCAAATATACATAAAGTACCAAAAATCATTCTCCAAATACTTTCAAATACTCGATCATAATCAATGTTAGCATAATCAAACCGAATTAAATCCAAAAGTATTTGTACTTTGAAATTCCACAAATAATTTGGTAATTCAATCCAACTCAAATTCAATCCAAATATAATGCAATCCAATAATCCAACAACTCAAATCCAATCCAGTCAAATATAATTCTCCTCAAAACCTCAAAACCTCAAAACCTCAATCCAAATATAATTTGTACTCTAGTAATATCTTAAAATATAATTGTATAAACTCCTAATACATTTGAAGGGCGGTGCTCAACATTTTATTGAGCCCGATGGTCCGTTGTTATGTACGCCCACCCCGGGACTTTTGCCGGTACCACTTCTAACCTGAGGAAACTGAACCTCTACCTTAAGTGTGCACACCCCCTGAAAGGGATTCCAAGCCTTACGGGTAGTAAGAAGCCCAAGTAGTTCGGACGTCAACGTCCCCCTACTCCGCCAAAAAGGGATTACCCTATAGAAGTGACTAGGTTACTGCTACTACTGAATAACAGGGTCTTTTTCCCGAATTTTACCGCTAACATCCACAGTCAAGGTCGTGGAGACACCAACATCCACAGTCAAGGTCGTGGAGACACCAACATCCACAGTCAAGGTCGTGGAGACACCAACATTCCAACTCTTTATGAGTAAACAAGTAGTAGCAGCCCTAATCACTCTCCACAGTCAAGGTCGTGGAGAACACCGACACAGTGGATTTATCCCGCGATGCCCTTCCATTGAAAGGTTCTTTTTATCTTGATTACTTTTCGAAAATTCTATATCTATTATTCATAGATATAGTTTTAGAATAAGGATTATTATCCTTGGATTTCAAAACACAATTTCACCATGTAGTTCAAAATATCTAGATCTCTAATAGCTTTCGGAATCTCATATTATACATAGACATAAATTTCCAAAATAAGAGTTAATTGATCCTTTAAACTTTAAACTCGAAATTTCCTAACATGATCAAAATATAGAATACTTCATAAATAGCTCAAATCTCAATCCCAATAATGATTCATTCATAACTTTAAATACTCAAAAATATCACCCAATATTCAATACTCATATCACAAATATAATCCTTAATAACAATCCATAAATAATTCTAAATACTCAAATACGAAGTATAAATGTAAATGCTAGAATCTCACAAAGTACTCAAATAATTTCAAATAAATAATCATATATAGATTTACGAGGAAAAGTGTAATGTTGGTTGACGTAGAACTTACCTCAATCGCGATAATTCCTAACCGAAGCTTCTATTTGACCTCCTTCAAATTCACCTTCTAGAATTTAAAATTATAGAATTAGTAATTATTTTTCGTTGATTATTATCCACTTCATGGTATTAATTTATCTCTTTCCCGATTAATCACTTTTATTTACGTATTCAAATAATTAGTCCATAGTAATGCATAGCTATCCACTTGTATCAATTTATTTATGAATGTCCATTACGAATGTAACCATTTGTTTTGACATCATTCACACTAACCAATCCAATCTGTCCATTATAAGCAATTTCCATTACTGTTTCAGATTTTCATTAAAGGTGTGTTTTATCTTAGCCCCTAGCTTTAACGCAAGTCGCAGGCCCTTATATTTTAACCGAACCAAATTTGTTTTAATTGATAAAATTTATTTCAAAATGTTCGGCCCAGATGAATGGAACTGAAGAAAATAACAGAGTACTAACGTACTAGTAAGCCGTCTTCCTCGCAGCAGAGATGTGCCCAGAAATTGATCGTCACGACGTCGCTTCGGGTTGCTATTCCTCCGGTGCGAACGAAGCAACACACCCTTAGCCGCTTACTCCTCTTACTCGCACAGCGACGGCGGGTCTGCTACGTATTTCCTCCGTCGCTAGCTTCTTCATCAGTTCCAGTTCGGCGACGTATAGCCTATAGGTGAACCAGTCCGACATGCAATTGGGTCTTCTTCTCCGAAGAATCTGAGACCGCAATATGGCGAAA